ACCGGAAAAAAAAAAAAAAGTACAACGCGAGCAACCCCCCTATACCTCCCCCTATAACCCCCACCACCCCCAAAAAAGTTTATTGTGGATATGGGCTGCTCTCCTCAAGCTGTGCACGACCATGTAGTCAGAAAAAAAAGGAGTAAAAAATTGCAAGGCAGTCTGCCGACCGCCGACGGGTCTGCCTATGGGTCAGCCCGACTGGTAGGCGCGCCTACCGCCTACGGTAGGCGTCGGTGGTAGGCGCCAGAAGTACCCTGATTGCCCGCTTATACTTCTTTCGTTTTATGGATGGTTTCTGATGATCTTGTAGATGGAATGAGAGAGAGAGAGTTTTTGGGTTTTCTTGGTGATGGAATGAGAGAGAGAGAGTTTGGGGTTTCTTGACAACACACACACACACACACACGCGTCATCATCCACCTCGCGTGCCTCCCCTTCTTCATCGACCTCATCATCAGCACGTTCATGGTCAGATCAGCCGTCACAAAGGCCGTCGGCAGAGACATCCAGCGTCAGATCGATCGTTACATATGCCTCTTCGATGGAGATGTTTCCCGTCTCCCGCCGCCGTCTCCAAGACAGGGGCCTCGTCTGTCCTGGACAACATGAACACCACAACCCCTGCAGGGGTTAGAGATCTGCTCTGACGACATGCTGGCAACCGTACAGAACGACATCGTTGCTCTCGATATATACTGGCCAGGAGTAGTACATATCGAGTTCGATGCCCGCAATGTGGCGATGATTTCTTCAGTGCTGCAGGCCTGCGTGTGCACCAGACACGAGGTGCAGCTACCTGCGCAGCGTTTGCACTACTAGCAGCCACTTTGATCACAAGTGCGACTGATCAACCTCTGCTTCCCGCATCTGACCCATCTATTCCTCATCAACCTGACCCTGCATGCTCCCCTGCCTCAAATGATAATGAGCCACCTTCTGATCACCTGATGGAGCCTCCGATTCCAGAAGATCTCTCTCCAGAGCGCATAATACAACCGGAGGAACGTGACAGAAATGGTCAAGACTACCTTTCTTGGCCTTTTGGCCAAGATCAAGTGTAGTATCTGTTCTGATCAGTTTAATATCTGATCCGTGGTCCATCGGGCCACATTAAAAAAAAAAAAAAAAAAAAAAATCTGTCTGCCGTGCAATCTAGAGAATTGGATAAACCTCCCCCTGCCGCACAACCTGCAGAATCGGATGATGTCATGGTGCTGCAGCGAGGGCGCTGTGCTCACTATGCCATCAATGTGTGTCTCCTCGTCTACAATTGCAACCCTTGTACTGTTTCTGATTTTGCAGACATTGTCCGCTGGATAGAAGAAGAGCACCGTGCCATCTGCCCGGATGACCACAGTACTGCACCTCGCGTGAACATAGAAGTCCTGTCTATGGCATTTATGGGTAGGCGACCACCCAACTCCAGCCCACGCCGCAAATTCACGTGCCAGGAATGGATCCAAATATTTGGGCATACATCTTACATTGTCCACGTCATTTCAGTGCTCGGATAACTTCTGGACCCTATGGGACAATGGCGATAGGGTGCACGCAGCGGGAAATGTCAACTCTTTCTATCACCAAGCGGTAGAACATCACTCGGTCCACTCATCAGGAACAGTATGGCGATGAGCACTCGCAAGCTCTACAGCCGCTGAACCACCGTGTTCCCCCGTGCATGGCCAGGCAGAGAGTCCTCCCTGTGTAGATCGGACGTATTCTACCACGGACTCTGAAGGGGCCTCTCCAGAGGACAATGGCTGTGCCATCCCATTCTGTCGTCACACAACTGCAGCTCGGTTAGCATGCACACGGGATAGTCTCTGCGCCGAACACTATGAAGGGATGGTCACTGCCAGCCTCTGTCACGAAAACTGGGATCCTTCATCTTGTACTCATCCTTCCCAACCCCTAATTGCTTGCCCAGCATGCCGTCGTGGCCTCAACATGCCATGTCTAATAGCTGCGAACGTCAGCCTGCTTTCCTGCTGACATGTGGGCAGGATGCTATGTGCCGTCAATGTTTCCCAGAAGCTGTCATAGAGAGTATATGTCTCCATCGTGTTGACCATCCGCAGTGCCATTGTCCGTTGCATCGTCTCCTAGCACGTCCCGCATGCACTGCTGGGCACTTGCCAGACAAACGACAGACACAGCTACCATATGAACCACCTACAGAGCGCTGTACTGAAAGGACATCTCCACCAGGACGAGCTGCTGCAGACCAAATTCCAGAGCAGCTAAGCACCCTTGCTTTGGATCAATCCCCGTCGCCGTCTGCCCGCAGAGAGGGAACAAATACTACAGAAACTCATACAACCTGCTCAATGCCTCTCTGTGATGACCCGCCTGAGATCTGGCTGGTATGCAGTTCACATGCCTTGTGCCGTGAGGATTATGAAGGGATAGCCCATGTGAGTTTTTGTTTTCATATGTATGATGACAGTTACTACTGCACTCATGCACGGCACCCTGACATGTCGTGTCCAATTTGTAGACAGGGGCGGGAACGGCAACGTGTTTACAGTTGCGGTCGGCATGACTGTGTTCCTAGCACGAAGGAGCCACGCAGCCTGTGACATCTGTCTGCGCCGAGCCATTCGGTGCAGCAACTTCGACTGCGAGAATTGGATGCAGTAATTTCACAGTCCACACGCGAATCGGTCCTGTGCGGTCTGTAGGGGTGGCAACTCACCATAGGCAACGGCGGCTCCTCGACTCAAATTCCTATGCAACTCAAACACTGGCTGGCCTCATGTGCCATTCTAAAGTAGTCTTCTCCTGCAACGAGTATTTAGAATCCTGTGATGTTTGTCACATCTCTGTCCTGTCCTTTGCACACCAGTTCCTTCCCTACCCTTTCTCCGTCGCCAGCTCCCTACTCCTACAGAACTCCGCTTCTTACCCCTTTCCCTTTACCCGCCCGTTATGTGCTACTAGCAAATAACATACGAATGAGCATGAGTAAGAGAACAGATAAAGTATAAGCTGAAGATCTGAAGTGAAATGAACGGGAGTATACCTTCCTCTTCATAGTGTGCAAGTGTGCCGTTAAGGCACACCCCTTATGTGCTACTAGCAAATAACGTACGAATGAGCATCAGTAAGAGAACAAACAAAGTATAAGCTGAAGATCTGAAGTGAAATGAACAGGAGTATACCTTCCCCCTCATAGCGCGCATGTGTGCCGTTAAGGCACACGGGGATGTGGGCAGCTGCCCCTCAACCACAATCAACGTGGGCAGCCTTGTACCGTTGTACGTGCGAGGCACGGTAAGAAAGGCGGGCTGCAAGAACAAATGGAAGGGGTACCCCAAAGATAACCAAAAAACTGTCTAATTGTAAATTTGCTTAAATGTATGTTGGACTTTCTCAACTCAAGTGCTCTCATGGTCTGCAATATGACAAAAGCTGCTTTGTTTCTGAATCTACTCATCTGGGTGGAATTGGAATTGGTGCTGTTGTGGGGAAAGCTCATAACTCACAGTGTCAGTTCTGACCTTTGGAAGGTCAAATCAAAGGAGTCAAATTAAAGGAGTCAAATCATAGTTGCGGCGCATTGAGGTGCGCATCTCAGCGCACGTCTGGCGCACCTCGCACACCGCACCGTACCTGATGTGGTGCAAAAAAAAACAAAAAAATATATGCAGGGGTGAGGAATGGTACATCCTTCCTTATGGAAGTAATCAATGCCGTCTACTTGGGCCTCCCAGCCATAATGGGGAGGAGTGTGTGTGATTTTCTTATGTATACATTATTGACTTGCCGGGGGAAAGGAACCGAACTGTCGCTCCCTGGAATGGTAGGAGCCAGAACCATAAGGTTCTGTTTTTTGAAAAAAAAAAAAAAAGGTCCGCCCAGAAAGAAAAAAAGTGCAAGGTGTCATGGAACACTCTGCCTCGTGGATATAATTATGCTAAGGGCTAAACCCCTTTCTGAAAAGGAGAAGGAAAGTGAGTTTAAGGCCTCTCTCTCTCTCTCTCTCTCTCTCTCTCTCTCTCTCTCACACACACACACACACACACACACACACACACACACACACACACACACACAC